ATGGAATGGGTTATGATAAAGAAGAAAAGGAAACATATTTTCAGATCCAGCCTTATTCAGAGAAATCTAAAAAGTACAATTTAAAGACAAAGCTAAGGATGGAGTTTGTCAATTTTAATTTGAAAAAATATACCCAGAGTGGTGCGGCACACAGATGAGCCACTGTAAACTTTTATTTTTAATCTTTGCTCTTAGCCACCCCAAACCATTACTATAAAACCACAACTAAATAAAAAACGACTTCAGTTTAAAAAAAAGTCACAAACGTGAATAAGTAATTAGAAAGCAGCAATGTTAGATCCAAGAAATGAACAACTTGATTTCTGCCCAACACTATGGTACATATGTTTGATATTTTGCCTCAAGAAGATAAAGTCAAACATTGTAACAAATAACATATATACAGAAATTTACCACTATTTCCCCCTTTAATTACTAACATTGAAACTCCATGCAGGAAAATGAGGGTAGGAAATGAAAAGCAGAGAAGAGAGTTTTAAAGAAATTATTTAGAAAACAAAGAATCAGCAAATGTCATTCATTAAATCATCCCCTCAAGTTTCCCTCCCATCTCTGTCCTCTTCTTTACCACATTTCTTAATGGAGTTTTGCATCAGCCATCATATCTTTATGACAAAAATCACTTTTTGCTGGCATGTGAACTAGCTTAGGACTGTATTTAAATTTTGGGGTGGGATGGCCTATATTTGAAGGCATTACCCTCTCCTTTGCATGCCAAGTTCACAGCTGGATAGAAAAGAGCAGACACAAGAATCTGAGAAGGTAAGAGGGTGCCATAGAAATATTGACAATAATATCCTTTCCAGACATTAATGTTGTTCATGGTTTGTTGAAAAAGCGACATTTTGGGGGTAAGACACTGTAGTGACACAGGAGCCAGCTCAGAACTAGCCTGATGTGATTCTTCAAGGTCAGCAGGTGAGGTGAATTAAGTGAACCTTACTCTCTGTCAAAGGAAACAAATTTTAGGCCAAACTTAAATGGCGGAGACTTCTGCCCAGGTTCTAGTTTCATGTTTTCAAGCTATAAAAAGAACAGATTTTTAATTCTAAAACTAGGTTGTCGTTTTTGTAATGAACACATGAAACAATAATTTGTGATAATTTATAGCAAAGTGCCCCCAGCTACTGGTCACATGGATCTGTAGACTTGAATAAGTTTGAGTAAAGCAGTCATAATCGAGTCATCGAGGGGACTGAACCATTGGGCTAGACCAGTGGTCAGCAAACTCATTTGTCAACAGAGCCAAATATCAACAATACAACGATTGAAATTTCTTTTGAGAGCCAAATTTTTTAAATGTAAACTTCTTCTAACGCCAGTTCTTCAAAATAGAGTCGCCCAGGCCATAGTATTTTGTGGAAGAGCCACACTCAAGGAGCCAAAGAGCCGCATGTAGCTCGCGAGCCACAGTTTGCCCACCACAGGGCTAGACAATCCTTGCCCTGTTGAGGAACTCAGGATTATTTTAGATATATCTTCGATACCCGCAAAATGTGCTGAACTGAGAATATTTGGTGGCAATGAAGACTCTGAAACAATTATAGGACAAAGTACAGAGTTCTGCTCAACCTGGAAGTTGTAACTTCCTGGTAGGAAAAGCTGGCCTGGCTAAAACAGGCCTTAGTTCTTTAACCCTGACAGTATCCTTAGGATGGCTCCTTTCCAAACAGGGGATTCTGTCCTCAACCTTTAATTTTGTAAACCTGCTCCTTATATTAAAATATCAAGTGCTTAACCATTTGAAATTCCAATCCATAAGCGTGAATTGGAAAAACATGAGAAAGACTAACAGTATGTCTGATGAGCTAAGAAACAGTATGTGAGAAGACAGAATAGATAAAAAAGGGAAAGCGAAGTCAAGGGTCAAACTGGGCCATAATTTAAACACTCTAAATTGAACTCAATTAACTTTTTCTCCATGACCTTATGTCATTTGAAAATTATTTTGCAGAGCACTCTTGACTTCTGACACTTCTGTAAAAAGTGCTTCATACATTAACAGTATACTTAAGATAATGTGTCAAAAGAAATCCTTTGAGAGGTTACAATTAAATTTAGACCTATAACTTAAAGCTTTCACCTGAATATACACATGTGACTATGAGACAGAAACCAGAAACCATGCAGGCATGGGCTGCTTCAGCTGAACTGCACCAGTCCAGACAGATTATAATTTGCTCTTAGAAGCAAAAGGAAATTCTGTTCCAAAGCCATTGTGCTCTGCCGAGTATAACATATCCTGAGTCCTGCTGGAAAAGGTGGCATTTCGCTATTTTCATCCTCTTTTTGTTTTAAAGTTTCTGATAAGACGTACTATAGAGAAATAAGTGACAAGGCAGGGAGAGTGGAGGGGACAGTGAGAAAAGGGAAGAGACTACTTGGAAATAGAGATATAAACAAGGAGACACTGGGAAAGCAGAAGTGCAGACCCAAGCAGGTACTATGATTCTGAGGTATATAACTGTATAAATGTACCCAAAATCATTTCCTCTAGAAATTACATTTCAGAAAAATTCTACACAATTCCTATCACCTGGAGTGGCTAAATTAGCATCTAAAAGGCAGAAAGAAAAATATAATGCATGTTAAGTGATAACAAATGTAGAAGAAAATAAAATATAGACAAATGGTGAATTGTTGGAAAAAGAATGAGCTTTCCCATGAAGACATGCTCTTATGAATTAGATACCCAAGTTTTTACTTTGAAGGATTCATTAAAAGAAGGTGCGAAGGATCTAGAGTTTAAGAAAAACAACCTCCTCTCTAAAGATCAGGCAATTATAGCACAGCTGGTATGACAATTTCATTAATAAGTTGTAAATAGTACATTGGTGCTGCTAATGCCAAATTTTAATCAGTCACAAATACCATAATAAAATAGAGAATCGATTATTTAATTTCTGCCTTATTATAATTGCATTTCCCCCCCCATGAGTTGTTATGCAGAGCTAACCCTTAAAAGACTTCCCAGCTACATAATTACTAATATTCTGTGTAATACCAGTGACTTTGTGGTTTAACAGAAGACTTTAAAACTGATATTGTATGATGTATAATCCAAACCTCTAAAAAGCTATTTCACATAAACTGTAATACTGTTAATCTTAGTTTGGGAGAGGAAAACCATACAATAGACAAGAGAAGGTTGAAAGAAAACAGATCCTAACTTCAGAGAAAAATAAATCTATTGTTACATTTCCTGACAGGTAACTGGCCATCTTCAGAGTTCTAAAATTAATGCCTCAAACTACAAAACAAAAAACAAAAAACAAAAAACAAACAAACAAAAAAAACACAGAGGAAGAGAATTCATCCTGCATATCAATCAAGTTCCATTTTATCTGCTTGTAAGATAATTACTCATCAGCGACTTTAGATCCAAGAATTATGGGAGCTCAGAATAACCTGGCATCTTTGGACTCATGGACTACTGTGCCTATTCCTAAATATCTCTAGAGCACAAAGACTGTTGTTGCAGTTGACAATCTATCACTACAGTGCTCAATTGCTTACCTGTCAACAGGCTACTTGATTTCTTTCCTACCTATCTTGGAAGATTGTGATACATCCCTATTTTATTTCCCCAGAAGAGCAAACTTGGTGATGCAACATTTCTTTTTTATTCTTTATCCACTAAACCACAGAGGAAAACTAAGCTAAACTCTCTTTTATGTTCCTCTGTGCCTTTAATCATGAAGGGGGGATTTTCTTCAGCCTTGCAGAGCCATTTTAAGATGCAGATCTCAAAGCTATCCTCCTCAGTTATATTAATACCAGTGCACAAAGGGGTTTTAGGTACCGAGGGATAGAGGTTCAGATTTCTTCAGAGAAGAAACCATAATTTTCCCTAGATGTACGCCTTATATATCCTTTTAAAATTCATAAAATTGTATTGCTTCATTAATTTATCACGATTGCAAAAATTCAATTAGATTTACATAAAGATATATGTCATATCATAACCATCTATCCACAAAAAGGGGAATTCACCTAATTTGACATAAAGCTGACAACAGGCAGCCACTTCTGCAGGGTGATTATAAGAACTCTTCCATCAAACCCTGCTCGGAATCTGATCCTGAAAGCAACACGGCTCAGCCATGCCACGTCTTCATCCCTCCATTCATGATCTTACAGGAGAGCTAACTGAATCAAGTCTCACATCCGTGTGGAAAAACAGAGGTATGTTTTCCCCATCAATCTTTAGACCTAAAGTAATGTTTCTCAAGCTGAGCAACACTGTCATTTCGAGTAGGATAAGCCTTTGTGCTTGAATATCCCTAGCAGGTTAGGATGTTTAGAACCTGAGCCCTTGCCCAAATATAACAGTGGTCCTTGGTGTTGAGAACACTGAAAATGCCCCACATTCTCCAACTGCCCCCCTTTGAACTACAATGTTGCCCTTGATGAATGCTGACACCCAACCACATTATGATAATTTTTTATATACACAGGGGAGAATCTGATATTTTTGAAAATAAATATGCTGAACAAAATTTTTCTAAATTTAACAAAACGAATAAAAGAATATTACCAAAGTATTACAGGGAATTTTATTTTCATTGGTTTATACTGCCAGTAAAAACAAGAAGTCTGCTTATTAAGCAAATGGAATGATTTCATAGTCTCAACCTGTTGCAAACACAGGGAACAGAAGACTTAGACTCAGCAGCTTTTTGCTCAAGAAATTCTGCCTTTCCAAATTAGAATTCTGGAGAGTAGAAAATCAAAGACCACACGGAACACTTTCAAAAACTTACACATCTGTAAGGGCCAATGTATAGGCAGAGAGGCCAAAGGACAGAGGCTGAAGAGAAGTAGGAAGGGAAGAAGGAAGAAAGAAGGGTAGTAGGAACCAAGATAATTGCTACTGCCTCAATCAAGGTGCAGTTACAACTAAGGGGAGCTGCGGCAGCTCAGAAGAGGGTTCAGGGAGATTCTGTCTACACTGCAGGAAGGCAAAGCACACATCTAACCTTTGCTGGTTTTAGTCAGTTCTGAGGACATGCTTCCAGTCTTCTTCTTTTTTCTTGGAACAGGTACACATTTCCGGTCAAATGTAACAGGACTATATTGAGGAAGGCTGTTGAATTTTTTTTCAAATTCTTCATCCAGCTTTGCTGAGCTATTAATAGAGAAGGGATATAATAATTGACACATGCTATAAATATTTAAAGATATTTTTATATTTAATTATTTTGAATTAATTTTTAATAAAAACAAAAATATTTAATTTAAACAGATATAATTATTTAAACAGTAAAATATATAGTTTAAGGTATTTCTTTTGAAAACAGGGTCCCTGAGAATTAATTGGTAATAAATTCTATGCAAGGACAAAAACAACATTTTCAGAAAAGCTTGAAAAGATTTAGCAACACAGCTTTCTTGGTAAACTTACAAGACAGGTTATCATATTACTTTGGAAAAGCTAAAACATTATTTAAAATATCAAATTTTAAAGTGGAGAATTTGTCAGTCTTTCCATTGGCATGGGGAGTTTTTATTAAGTTCAATTCAAAGCATATTCCATCTAGACAAGTACCTCATTCTAAAGATTCATATATATGAACCTATATTGGGAAGCTTTTTGGTAATATGGTACATTGGTTCATTTTATAAGACTTTTTTCTTTTTTAAATATTTACTGATAAGTACTTTAAGCCATATACACACAAAAAAAACACAAGCACGTGATTTGAATATTAGGAAATCATTCTGGAGAGTTGACCAGGATGAGGATAACACACTCGGGGAGAAAAGTGAAGCCAGTTCTCAGTGGACACACTGGCAGACAGGCAGCACGGCTCTGACACCATGACGACTGGTCAAAGGCCACCAGCCAAGCTGGGAAATCCTTGTGCTGCTTCTGACTGTCTGCAAGGCCTCCTGGCCCAGCAATGGCAGCATGCCTGCTGGGTCCTACACTGGCTGCTGGCTTTCACTGACAGTGAGACTTACTAAGACACAGCCCAAACAGACAGCAGAAGCTGTGGGAGAATCTCTGTGCTCGGTGGATGGAAAGTGGAAGGCGTACTTGGGAGAGAGCAGCTTGGAGTAGCCAACTTCCCAGAACGCTGCTACCTGTGTGATGTAATCGAGCTGTGTCCACCTAAAACTGTTCTCAGTCTTGAGGAATGTGTAAGAACTGGGGAGCACAGATAAGATAATCAATAACTATCAGAACTGTCAACAGAAAAAGGTCACTACCAAGTTCTAATCAAAGCAGCAAAGGGTGGTGGGTGGGGGTGATGTTTCTCTCATTAAAACCATCTTTTCATGCTCAGTTTAAAAAAATTGTTTATGCTAATGGAAAACCAGAGACTATCTGGTTACTAATTAGCTGTTTCCAAAAGCTATCTGTAAGATGTGAATTTTTCATATACTCTGAATAAACAAGGCAAAAATATGAAGTGAGATATAATCTCTAAGGTCTCTTGGGACTCTCGTTTTCTTTTTTCCACTAGAATAATCACCTCTGTTTTTCTTGGATAAGTCTATAAAATTGGAACTGCCAATACCGGGTGAATTTTTCTTGGCTACAGTTAACTAAGTAGGTAGCACATTTTCTGAGATAAAAATGTTTAAAATGCTCATTTAGAAATCTCAGATAAGACTGACAGGAAGTGGCATTTCTCTGTGCTCAGGCACTGTGTTGGTGTGTTCTTGACAAGGAAAACCCAGACAGTCTGATTTTGACAGGCCATTATTTAAAGGAGACAGAGGAGGAAAGATCAGAAGTTTACCGTGGATTTAAGTCTGTTGAAAACCACACTCCCAGTAATCTGTATGTGGCTTCCTTAGAAATGACTTAAACAAAACAAAAAAACCCAACCCAACAGCAATCTCTTTGTAGGGATAGATTTTCAACAGATTGTTGCACTGTTCTTATTCCTCCAAGAGGACCGGCAGTACAGTCCTTGGCAGGACCTAACTGAAGCATCAGAGAACCTTCCGCTGGGGAACTTGCGAGCCTGCTGTGTCCCCTAGGACTTCACTGTCTGCAATGAGCGTGCTCTTCTCTTGCCAGGTAGACACACGGAGCCCTGGTAATTCCAGGAGATACACAAAGCACTGCGCTGATGCTCAGTGGTCACTTGAGGAAATACTTCATTTGAAAAATATTATTTGACAATGACAAGCATGAAGATTTCATGTCATTGTTGAAGCATAATGTAATGTAAACAAAACTAATTTGAACTATTCTGGACTTTTAAAAATATTATAAAAGAAATATATATATAAAGGTATATATATAGCATGTCAATACAAATAATCTTAAGGAATCATTGTCATGAGAAATAATTTCCACTCTCACTCTTTGTGATGACAGAGAGCCTTAGAATTAGCCAGGCTTTGAAGCACTGTAACATCCAAGGAAATGTATATTATTCTACAAACAGAAATGCAAGTATTTATGAATAAACCAAATTCAATTTTCTCAATGCATAAAATTTGCATACCTTTAAACACATTTATGGATAAATATGGAAAATGTAAAAATGTATTTATTTCCACTCAGTGTATTCTTTTCAAATTGGACTAGAGAAATCTCAAAGGATTTTTCAAAACAGTACAACTGAATATTCAGATGCTTTCCTTACCAATATAAAGTATTGGATATCATAAAAACTTGTAAAATGCTTTATATTAAGATTGGTATGAGAGTCTTTGGTATAATATAAAGATGAAATAATCCTTAATAATTTTATCTTGATGTATGTTATTGCTTGACACAGCACTTCAATATATAATTAATTACTGAATATTCTTTGTACCAGAGAGAATGTTTAATCTTTTATTTTTATTTAGAGCATTATAAATATGGTTTCAATAAAATAAGATTAGAAGTAGAAACTTAATTTTATTTACCTTATATTTTCAGCTGTCATTTTTTTTTTTTTTTTACAAATATATGGACATGCCTAAAAATACTAAGTATTGTAAAGCACATACAGTATGTAAAATGTAGACATACTTATATAATATCCATTGTAAACTTCAGATGGGAAAATGCTTCCTGGTGATATTAAAGGATTTATAATGTCACACTACTAATAAATATATGGTGAACTTCAATTCAAACTCAGGCCTATGTCTGATACTTTAAAGTAAATGACACTGTCACTCATAACCATGTGAACAGCAGGAATCAGGTGATGCACAGGATCCGTTTCCCTGGTGTGTTTGCTAAGTGCTGAATGAACACTCAAAGAACAAGCAGTTAGAGATTTATGCTTGCCTTGGAAACCCTGCCACACCTGGGGCTGTGTAGTGAGTGTAGCAGACCATGTTCACAGGCACTCACCCGAGGAGAGAGTCTTCCTTTGGCTTTGTCTTCTTGAACTTCTTGCTCCCACTGGTCCCACATGGGCTAAAGGTCCAGCTTTCTTCATTCCAACAGCCTTCATGATCAGAGGAGTTTCCTTTTCCTGAGCTTCGTTTCCCTAAGGAAATTCAAGAGAGGATGTGCTCGGTATATTGGGATGGGAGTGAAATCAACTTGATTCACAAGTGACCTCTTGATCCCTAGTATCATGAGCCTGATGGGATTACTAAATATTCAGAGTCTCAAAGTGATTCATGATGGACCACCCTCAACAAAAGAACATACATAAGAGTGACTTACAACCCCTGAAATGAGTTTTCTTGTCATAACTCAACAGATATTGTGTGACTCCAGAGCAGAACACCGCCTGCTCACTTTTGCATTAGGAATCACCTTAGAGTATGGGAATCCTTTGCTGGTGAGCACTACTAATTCTCATTCACCAAGATTTATTGGAATGGCATCCCTGGAGAACTATGTACTCCCAAAGACCTTCATTCAGGGCTTGCTACACCTAGTATTTACTCATTTCTAGTTGAAATCTAGCTTGGACAAAGGTAATCCCCTAGCTAGGCACATTTTAAAACAGATGAATTTATATGAAACACTATGGAATAAAGGTAGATACATTACTGGCTTCTGAATGCTGTAATGTTTTAAAGAACCTTCACTTCAATTATAGTTTTAACAAATGGAGAGGACTAGTTAAGTCATTTGCTCCTGAATCCTTCAGGTCAGGATTCTGCCAAACTATCTGCTTGACTCAGGAAATTCTTCCCATCAGTGTTAGAAAACAGACTAAGAGCTCTGGACATGCAATAGTGATCCTTCAAACCAAACACTAAGCCTATCCCATTTAAAAAGAAAGGAAGGGCTGAATTACTTTAAATACTTATACATTGAAGATACTCTTCTCTATGGGCTAGGAAACATGTAAAATGACGTATGCCATCTCTAACCCATTAAGAACTGTACAAATGTAAAATATCATTTTGATATCATATTGTTCTTTCTGGTTCTTTTCAATAGGTCTAAAGAAGAAATTCTGCTAGCCTTCCATAATCTTTTCAGATTTGTAGAAGTCACTTACCTCTGTCAACATTAGCTCTCAGAGAGGTGAGCATGCCCTCAGACACCAGGGTTTTATAAAGAGCACCTTTGCAAGACCTCTCGGATTTCCGGGAACCACAGGCTTCTATTTTTCTGTGACATTCACTATCCTCAGGCTTGGCATGTCCTGATAAGCTGGGTGGTAATGTGTCCTCCGTGGGGGTCAATGGTTCTGCTTTTATACCCTCTGGCACCTCACCAGAAATGTTCTTGCTGGCAGAAATACTTAAGAAATCTGGAGGTCTTGACTCTTTGGTGGTGTCTGAGGATTTCTCCTTTGACATTTTCTTCTCTCTTGATTTCACTTTTTTCTTTGGTGGCTTGGCATCCAAAATGTTTCCTTTGCCACTTGAGGATGCACGTGCCTTCTTGCGAGGGGTCTCTCCAAGTTTCTCAATGCCCCAGTCTCCCTTTGCAACAGCTTCAATGGTGTATATGACACTCTCTATGTCAGACTCTGAGGATTGCCTCTTTTTGCAAGTCTTCTTGGGTGTGGATTTATCATTCCCATGTCGATCCATTTTGCTTTTCTTCTTTTTCTTTTTTAGCTTCTCTGGCTTGTTTAATGCTGTGGGATCCTCAATGATCATAATCCCATGAGGATGGCACATATGATCCTTTCTACTGGGAACATCACTTATTATTATCTTGCTACTGGCAGAGTAAGAAAAATCAGAGAAGTGACTGTACTTTTGATCTCTGTCTAATTCTTCTTTTTTAACTTCTTTGGGATCTTCCATTTTTATAGCCATTATATCATTCATTTGCAGCTCCTCAAAATTTCTTAATTCCTTAGGATCTTTTACATTTTCCTTAAAAGCTTTTTCAAATTCTGCGTCCTTCTGTAACCTGGCTTCATCTGTTTTCTCCATTTTTATCTCCCTTTCTTCCTTCCCTTTCTCCAATTCTTTCATTCTCCTGCCATCTGATTCTTTTGTTTTTATTAGCTTGGATTCTTCCATTTTCATCCCCTCTGATGCCAGGCACATCTGAACAGTTGAAACAAAATTGGGAGAACAAGATACACACACAAAAAAAATCCTTATTATTCCATACTTGGAATTAGCTTGAACTTTTAAATTATTGTCCCCTTTAAAAATAATCAAAACAAACTTTAAATTTGACAATAATCAATCTACTTCTGCCTAACTTAAATGATTCAAATTAATAAAAGATTTTAGGCATTACAATATATTCATATTAAACTCTAGACAAGCATATACCTGAATTCTAATTTTCCAGCTTTTGGGAAGCTTGTCTTATGAAAACAAGATTTGGTGGAAGGAGAATGGGATCCAGAGTTGAAAGACCTAAGTTTGAGTCTTAGTTCTGTTACTTGCTAACTTTGTAGTAGGAATGAGTCATTTCACTCCTCTGTTGCCTTTGTAAAATAAAAAGTTTATCCCAGAGGATTCTGTGAGGTATAAGAGATGATAATAAGAATTGTACTTATAGCAACACTTAACAAATCTCCAAACTCTCTCCCAATGTTTGTCCTTTCTTCATTCTTGGGAAAATGAGAAAAATAGGGACAATTTCTACCTATCCTTTTGTAATTAAAAATAATATTATGCTGATAACTTAAAGATTACCAAAGCCCTGAAAACTAAGTGATGGTGTTTTTTGTATTGTTTTTTAAACTCATTTGATGGAAAACTTGATCTCATCAAAACTTACTTGGTTGCAAATTCTGACCAGAACTAATGTGAAACTGCTTCACATTTATCTCACTTAATGTGACTATTCATATGCTTGTGGTATCAGAATCTTCATGCATTTGAATATGCACTGGGGAAATTAACTGAATAGTGTAAAATACATATACTATATCACCAATTTCCTAAAATCTGAAAAATTCTGAATGCCCAAAAATGTCTGGCAGCAAATTGGTTAAGTTTTTAAACTCCCAAAATTTTACATAAAGAATATTAAAGGAAAACCCATGGTGATTAGATCAAAGGCAGCACAGGAATTATTAAACATTATTCTTTTTATCTACTTTGCATTAGTAACAAAAAGAAAAAAGAATATTGTGGCTTGTTGAGGCCCCAAATTATGCCTATGAGTAGGAAACTGATCCATTTAAAAAGACATATCACTATTTTATCAAATGGCAAGTTGTCAGAGAATGTTAACATCTACAAAGTTCATTTTAAAATTCGAATTTTTAAATGGATATTACACTGAATTAAATATCAGATGCTCTTTAACTTCATTTTTCCCCCTTAGCAATTTCAATGTCTTTCAAATTCTTCCTTGAGAATTATGTTATGATTAATAAGTCTGGGGAGAAATTGGAAAAGGGGTGGAGGTTGGGGCAGACAGTGCAAGTTTTTTAAAAAGTGAACATGACAAGAGTACCCAGCTCCTTGGATCATTCACAGGGAAGATCTGAACTATCCTGGGTTCACAATGAAGCTTTTCAGGAAATCAAGTCAGTTACCTTTTAGACCTCAGCAAGTAGTTATGAGGACTAAGAACTTCCCTTTATTAAAGTAACCAGAAAAAAGGTCAAAGCAAAATATTAACTTCAATGAATTCTGAAATACCAATATATTTAATCTTCCCTGCTTTTTTTCTCTCATGGGAGCTTTGCTGTGTGTGTGTGTGTGTGTGTGTGTGTGCGTGCTTTGTTTGTTTTTTGCATAAATCTTAAAATAATTTTTATTTTCCTTACTCAATTATCCTAGATCTTCAAAAATATAACTATCCCAATGGGGGGAGAAAGACTGCACTAGATCTTGAAAGAAGATTAGAAAGGCATCCTCAAGGTAAATTTTATGGTGTGTTTTTTTTTTCAATTACTTTCACATTGATGGCCTCTAATAAGTCATCTCAGGGACCTTTCAGCATATAGGTTTTTACAGTGATATGCCAACAGTTTGCATTTGCACAAGTTCATCTTATCAAACCTAATAATACTTTGCAAACACTATTCTCTGCTTCAATATATTTCAAAATGATTCTCCTCATCATCCCTGATAGGGATGAAATGAAACAAATACAGACATTCGCTCTGGGGACATACTCTGGGTAATAATGTAGTATTTCTTGTGAAGTTAATTACACTGAGCGCTAGTCACACTTTACTTCCTTGTTTTAAGCTCTTGAAAGCCCCCCTCCTCAACACACATACACACACACAGACAAATAGAGTATGTTAATCCTAAATGATAAGAAAAACAATTATGTTCCTGAAAGTGAAACTATAAAAATAAAACTCCTAGTCAAAACTATAAACCACAAATGTCATTAACCCAAAACAAATAGGATAGAGTTGGGTGCCACTCTAGAGGTTAAAATTTAACATTCTTCTCAACGTAGGAATTCATTTCATTACTCTATTCCTAGAGTTAGTTACCTATGACCATAGGAGATGGTCTGTTTGAAATTTTTAAAATATCGAGCAAAAGCCCTCTTAAGCCTTGTAGTTCCCTGAAGCCACTTAAGTTAATCCACTCCTTCTCTCGTGTGAGTTTCAAATCTTGGAAGACGGACTTTATTTCCCACAAGCTGTTGTTCTAGCATAATGTCCCAGGTTCCCTTTACTGTTCTTCACAGATAAAAGCCCTCTGGCCTTTCAAAGGGAAGCTAGATGCAGTATGGTGTCCTAAAGTGAGAATTAGCTGGGTTTCTGACCAAGCACTAGACCTTGCTTGCCTAAGACCAAACAGTGAGCTATGTATCTTAGACTTGAACCCATATGAGGAAGTAAAGGCTGAGAAACAGGGTAAGAGTACATCCTACACTGACTGTTGTGAGACAAAGATGAACAAATGTGTGCGCATACAACTTGTAAATTTCATAAAGCTTTACAAGGTTTGGGGAATATTGATGCTTCAAGTTAGCAATATCTTTCTTAAAGTTTCTACCCTTCCTGTGAATGCTTCTTGAAAGAAGTAGGACTATTTATCAGTTGACAGGAACACCAATTTTCTAATGGGGTCCAAAGACAAGTTCCCCCACCCCCTCTTTTAAACACAGGTCACACTTCTGGCTTGTGGTCCATTAAAATACTGACATAATATACAGGAAAACTTGGCCTCTCCTATACTATTTCTTTATATATTTTTGTACCTAGATGCAAGATATTCCATTTCCCTTAAAAAGTTGATCCTTTCACAACTTGAATGAAATTGCCTATCAGCTGTGTGTTACAGACACGTTTGATATAAGCTGCTTTGCATCTTTGTCCAGATCTTTGGCAATAATGCTGAGTAGACGTGGCCAAGGACAGAGCCTCTGGCAAACCTCTAGAGCCCTTTCATCAGTTGACTTGACCATAATAAACGTTAGCAATCCAAGAATTTATTGTCCAGTCTAAATCCCCCCTCATTTTGTTCACAAGGACTTAAGATTATCTGAAATCTGGATATAATATGCCAACACCATTCTCTTAGCCTATTTTATAATCATACCAAACAGAAAATGAAAATGGCTTGTGTACCAGTTAGGGTCTAACTAGGAAAAGAGAAACAAATTAAGCATATCTAGCCAAGGGAAATTAATGCAAGGAGTAAGTTGATTACACAGGTCATGAAGAACTGAGACACCCAAACAAGTAGTGGTGAGACAACCCAGTGAGAAGCCACAGCAGAAAGCACATTGGTCCAAAGGAGAGAAGGAATGCTACTGAGGCCCAGGGGTGAGTCCCAGTAAGAGACGAACTGTAGAGGGGCTGTCTGAAGAGAGCTGGATGCATAAAAGAGAGGCTGACTCTGCTGCCCCCGAGCCCTCCTCATTCTCTCTTTTCATGGCGCGGCCTCTCTTTTCCTCCCCTTCCCTCATCTCCCTCCAGTGTCTCTCACAGGCTGAACCAAGCTGGAAATCAGGGGACACAGGAGTCCAGGAAAAGCAGTCTGCAGCCATCTGGGCTATAAGCCAGCGCACAGGGCAAATTCAATCCCCAGCCCTGGTCTAGGCACATGTGGGAGGTAACCAATCGATGTATCTCTCTCATATCAATGTCTCTCTCTCTCTCTCCCTCCCTCCCTCCCTCCATCCCTCTTTCCTTCTCCCCCTCCCTCCCTCCCTCCCTCCATCCCTCTTTCCTTCTCCCCCTCCCTCCCTCCCTCTTTCCCTCTCCCCCTCCCTCCCTTTCCCTCCCCCCCTCCCTTCCCCCTCCTCTCTCTCTCTCTCTCTCTGTCTCTCCCCCTCCCTTCCATTCTCTAAAAGTCAATGGAAAAATATCCTTGAATGAGGATTAACAAACAAAACAAAACAAAACAAAACAAAACAAAACAAAAAACAAAAGGCAGGGTTTCTAGAGCCAAATTGCATAAGACTGCAGACTGTTTAGATCATTTTATCTAAAATCTTTCTGTGCCTCAGTTTCCCAATCTATAAAATAAGATTGTCAGTGGTGAAGTTCAATGAGTTGCACGTGTACAGTACTTGAATTAGTGCCTTGTATAGAACAAAAATAATATATTCTGACAACCATCTCTCTGGGGCCTTATGCCATATAGAGATAATGTTGGCTATTATTATTAGAAGTAATATTCATATTGGTAGCATTAATAGCACATCATGGCTCTGGCAGACTAACTGCTTTGCTGTAATTGTTCATAAAGGATTGAATGAGTCTATAGTTGAGAAAAGAAACATATACAACAGAATTAGATTCAGGAAGATTTTAAATCAGTTACCTTTCAAGAAGCAACTTTTATTAAACACACATTAAGCTCAGTTCTACTTTTGGGTACAAGCACCTCTACTTACATCTACCTTGGGGTGCATATATCAACACTTCAATGGGACTTAAAGTGTGTACACACTACACTGCATAAAGATACTAGGACATGTGCACGGGTAAGCACATAGTGGACACAAAAAAACATAAATCAATGTGAATTCAAATGAATAAAACTGTACTTTGGGAAGTGCAAAATTAATGTCTGTTATTAATTAGTCAGGTGGACCTTAACAGAAGATTGTTAATCAGGCCCCGAAACAGAACATGCCTTAGTAAATGGCAATTTATTCTTCT